CAAGGACAGAAATTGTCTGCTTTGCTTTCTTCTGGTGCCTAGTATAGGGATTGCTTTCAACTAGATGCTCAAAGATATTTAGTAAATGAATGAGTGGATGAATAAATGATGACAACAGCAGGCAACTGTAGCCCGCAAAGCATTGGCATCAGGCTACATCACCCTTGGCCCTAGGAAGGGAGCATGAGAACAAACAGTTACCATGCCTGGATGCGCTCCACAGGCATTTCAGAGGTGACTTTTTTGAACAGGAGCAAATGAAAATACAACCTAATGATTTCTTTAAAAGATGAAGAAAAATAAGTTTTTCTGAAAGTTCCTCCATCTAAACAACCTCCTAAACTAACTAGTCACTTTAGTTATCTGAAGAAAAATCTGCAAAATAATGACAAAGAAAGTTAGTGGGTGGCAGGGGGTAGATTTTTGGCTACTTGAACTCAACCCCTGAATTCTGAATTACTGATAAGATGTACAATCTTGATAAAGTACCTTAGTTTGCTGAAGTATCAGCTTCTTCAGTGTAGAAATGGAATAACTCCACTGAGTTATTGTAAGAATTAACAGTGGCCAGTACATAGCCTGTCACTTGGATGGCTCAACAGATGTGATTCCTTCCCTCCCTTCTCTGCCTTTTTTTTCCTGCTGCTCTTGAATGCGTATTTATTCTAAAACCATAGCGGTAAGTGAAGCGATGTAATTATTTTCTGAATGTTCTTACTCCTCCTATTCAAAGACTTTTTAAAAACACAAGTTGGAGGATCACTAAGTTTTCCACTCACTCTTTTCTGAATGTCAGCTCTAAGATGCTAAGTCTTGTTACATAACAGAAAAACAGAGAAGCCGGGGGCTAGAACATAAAATGACTTTAATTAGGCAGACAATAGGATTTTTAAAACTGTGGTTTTCTAACCTTCTTATCTTTAAAAGTGGTTAAAAGGTACAATTGAAGAGGAGGTGGCCCTATTTTTGAAGTTACTGCTGTTTTAGGAACTTTCACAGGCACATTGGTTGACTTTTTAACAAAGGAGACCCAGGGAGGGCAGAGGACGCTGTCCAGTAGGTAGCCTTGTCTGTTTGATATTGCCCCACGTGAGAAAGCTCCACTTCTGAAATAGCAGCAGTGTACTACTTACCCTAGAATCCAGGAACATATGATAGCTTTCTTTCCTCATGTTCCAGTGGTAGAGATCAACAGCTGTTTATAGCTTTCAATACCTAACTAAGGGTGAAACCTCCACATCTGTCAGTATTTTCCAGTTCTACTTCCTTTGGATCACTGTGGGGACAAGGTCAAATTTGAATCCCTCCAGTTTCCATGCACACAAACACAGAATATGCCTAGGAGTCAAAGCTGTAATGCTGAGCAGAACTCCCAGTTTTTTATCCACAAGGATCTGCTGTTTGCTGAGAATTCTTCCTTTACTTTATCCTGACAGATATCTTGATTATTTCCATGATAATGACTCATAGCAGCACAAAAGATCAAAAAGAAGTAGGCTGGAATCAGGGGGAGGAAGAAGGAGGAGATGAAGTCTACCAGGGAAAGTGGCTTTAAAGACAAGTTTTTCCCAAAAGATAGCAAAAATATTGTCAGCAGGCAAATACCAGAGGTAAGCAGGGTGGTACTGAAGATCCTCAGGGTGAAGGTGATTTTTTACTGATTGTTAATATTTCACCTTGGAAAAGTCAAAACACAGAAAATTAAGCCCTTTGAAAGCAAGGCACTCAAAATACCTAGGTGATAAAAGGTTTCAGAGACACTTTTTAACTTCATTTTGATCACCAGAATATAAGCATATTGGGACTTTATAAATATTATTTTTAAACCCATCCAACAACTTATAAGATACCGGAACTGGATTTAGTGTTAGGATATTCAAATAAATTAAGACAGATTGTATAACTTTAAGGGGCTTGCATTCTATTGGGTGAAAGAAAGCCTTCACAGAGACCTTTATTGTAACTAAAGGTTGCAGTAAATTTACTTGAGAGAAGGTAGGTGTTTCCAGAATGAAATAAACCAGAAAGGAAAGAAATACTGTTTGGGTGGAGGACGGGAACGAAAAGCATTCTGGATGGTTACAATAAAGAGAGGAGTTTTGGATGCTTACTAAAAGTGCAGATTCTTAAGTTATGTTTGTTTTGTTTACTTCCAGCATGTCAATTTTCAATTTCTTTTTACTAGAACAAGCACAATAGGCTTTATTTATTTATCATTAGGCTTTATTTTTTTTTTCCACATCATTCTTCATTTTGTACATTTTTTTCATCTCAGTTGTAATCCATGTGGAATTCCCACCACCAGTTCACGCATGTGCCATCCCCATAGTCCCATGTGTTCTCCTACACCCCAGTTTTGGTCCTATTCCCCTCTCCAACCTAGTAGAAAGTCTCTGGTTTGTAGTTGTTAGTTGATTTTAGTTTTTACTTTACTCCAGTTACTTTCTTTTTCCCAAAAACTTACACTACTGCTATGAGTGAAATCACCCAGTATTTTTCTTTTTTCTGTCTGGCTTTATTTCACTATGTTCCCTTCCATGTTGTCACAAATGGCATGGGTTTATCTTTTTGATTGCTGAGTAATATTCCACTTTGTATATCTGCCACATCTTCTTGATCCAGTCATCTGTTTTTAGGCATTCGAGTTAATTTCATATGTTACAATAAACAGAGGAGTTGTGGATGCTTATTAGAAGTGCAGATTTTGACTTACTTGTTAAGGAGGAGAAAAAAGTAATGTGTATTTTGAAGCCCCAAGTAATTCTGATAAAACTAAAGTTCAACAACTCCAGCTTACAAAGCTTAACATTTTCCAAAGGTTGTTAACAGTATTCTATTAAAACAAAAATAAAAAGATCCAGCTTCAAATTAGGGAATACCACACATTAAAGTATTATTTTCTTAGAGATTTAGAATTCATCTTAGTATATTAAAAGCCCTGCTGTCAATAATTTACTTTCACTTAGTATTTACCAAACTTATCTTTCCACTGGGGAAACCTTCATACATACTATACACCTCCTGAGACCCCACAGAACATTGAAGTACCCTGCAGCACAGACTAGGAGCTGAAACAGCATACTGATCAGGTAAGTTTATTCTCCAACCCACTGAATGCTAAGGAAATGCCTAGAAAAAGAAGAAAAGTCAATAACCTCCGGAGATATGGCAGCATTTGCTGATTTCCTCTAGTCTCAACCTACCTGAGATATCCTATTTTCTAAGCAGACAGCCTAAAGCTCCCTTGCTTTCAAGTAACACACCATGGATCTGTGATGTTATTTCTGGTCCCCAACTCTCTGTAGTAACCACAGCTGCCAGAGAAAGAAATGTCCAGAATGTCAAAGCATCACAGAACAGAAACAGAAGGGGTGGGGTGGTATCCTTGCCCACTTTTCTTTATCTTTGCTGCTGTCATGTGTTCTGTATAAAGCACTGGTAGTGAGTTGCTTGTAATGTTTTTTGAAAAAGAAAACTGTCTTCCAGCTCCAAAAGAAGCCTCTGGCAGTGAGTGAAATTACAAAAAGAAATGAACTTAAGAAATTCTCACCTTTCCAACATGCCTATTATATGGCAGGTAGTTTTCTTTAAACCTGTTTCCTCCTAGGCCAGCAAGCCAAGGGAGTCTACTACAACACTCCACCTTCTTCCTTAACTTGGGTCAGTAGAAAAAAAGAGCATGAGGGAACTGGACAACTCAGCAAAAACAGGATTCTGAGCAAATTGGTTTGTGTGCGGAATATTTCTAAATGTACACACTGCACTAATCAATTCATGCACTTCTTTTTTTCTAATGTAAATGTAAGTACTTCCATATACCCACTTCAACTTTCCATATGCCACATGATCCCCCGATCCCCCCACTTAGAGATGGTTTCAAATACTTATTTTTATACCCCAACCATCTTAGAGCTTTTAAATGTTTTCCAACAACACAAGTATCTTTTTCAATATTCTACAAATATTTCCTGAATGCTGACAAGATTCCAGGACACTGTACTAGGCACTGGAGGTATACTGCTGAAGCAATGGGTTTATATTGAAGTTAGGGCCTACAGAAATGAAATCTAGGGGCCTCCCTGTGGTGCAGTGGGTTAAAGCACAGCTCTATGAAGCCCTTTGCAACCACTGCAGCAAACAAGTTCGATCCCCAGCCAAGTCGCTGACCCACATGACACTGCAAGACTTCTCCTGTCTCGCCCACTGCTCTTCTCAGCAGTATACTTCAGTCAATCTACCTCTCTGTTCCCCACTCTGTCTTTGGTGAATCCTCTCACCCCCTGCACCTCTGGACTGTACCCCAGTTCTTGTATGCATAGTTAAATAGATCTTTTTTAAAAAATGAAATAAAACCAAAATATAGCCTGTTGGTGCAGGGAAAAGCCAATCATCACTTCATTGATTTCATTATTTCTCCTGATCATAGTTTATTAATTTATAGAACTGTTAACTCTGGACCCTTGTGCAACTTCTAGACATACCAGGATAATTTAAATATGCCCACTTCTTATATTTCTCTAGGAAATAATTAGACATAGGATCTTTATTTCTCACAATGCTAGCTTCTTTTTGTTCAATCTCCAAACAAATCCATGGATTCTCATACAAGATTTTATTAGCCTGGACTATGAATACCAATCATTGCAGCTCAGTTTATGTAATTTTAACTAATTAGTGAAAAAACTAAAACCATGGAGTCTAATCTTCAGGCAGCCAGCAAGATCAAGTTGAGCATTTCATTAAGTCAGTGTTGCCCAGCACTACTATGTGCACCATTGAGGTCGACAAATTTGTTGTAAGTGACCCACAAATAACTTTATAAAATTTCAACAAGGCCCTCAGATATGGTAAGATAAAACTGCAGGTGTCAGTCAAGAGATCTAAGGCAGCAATGATATGGGTGCTCTCTGGCTGTCAAGGCAGTCTGGAGGAAGCATCTGCGAATCTCCTGAGCTCAGGCAGGATAGGACTAAAAACCAAGAAGTTGGTCATGGACTTACCCACACATGTTGGAAATATGTCCTCATTGTTGATCTGGACCTCGATCCAATCCATTAGAAGGTTCATGTACTGGGGCGCTGGCAGGGCGGTCGGCTTCTTGTATTTGAGGTCATCCTGCCACCGATACTCATATTTGGGGCCTCCTGACATCACAGGGCAGGTCTGCTCAGTGCAGAACTCACAGATGGTGCCATAGATGAGGTTGATCCTGTTGAAGAAGTCCACCACGTGCACGGCCACCCAGTCATGCTGGTCCTCCCCGCTGGGCAGCTGCACGGCCGCCTTCAGGTCCACACCTGAGTTGAGGGATGCCTGAGCCCGTTTGTGGAGTTCAAACCTCTGTGTGCCAGGCTCAAATTTCCTCTTGGGCCGGAAGGTCTTGTCCTTGTTGAACACCTGCTTCAAGGCAATAGACATGGTTTCTTCCCGCTCTTCCTTTCCTTTGCAAGAAGTAAAAAGGCACCTGGAACTTTTCAGTGAGAGATCACAACCCAACAGGGTTTTCCACTGCCAGCCTTCTGGCCCCAGTCTTGCAGCAAACAACTTTTAATCTCTTTTATGCAGCTCCTTCCATCTTCCTCTTGAACAATTTCCAGGAGAACCTCATGTTTCTTCCTAAAAGCATGAGAGAAAGGGTCTTGTGAATGCCTGGTTTGCATTTAGGAAATGGCATAGAATTCGATTTTCATCTGCTCCTGGGTAGGCCCACTTCCATCCAGGTACAATGCTGCTGAGGAGAAGGCAAAGCCCTGAGAATCCATGTTGGTGAATCTTGCAAAGAAAAGGCATCACTCCCTTTCTTCACAGCTTTGGTCAAATCTGTGGCACATCTTCCCTGTGTGAGTTTAAGTTCAGTGGATCTCTCTAATGTGTTAGGATGATAATGTTAGTCAATGACATATCCCACATGAACTCATTTTGTTTTACAGTATCTGGCCCATTGCTGTCAGCTTTTACTGAGTAAGCTTTAGGGCCTCAATCTTTCCTGGATATAGCTGAATGGAGCAGAGGCAGTTATCACATGGGCCGACTAATATCTCTCTTGGGAACTTGGAATCAATACCCAGCCTTTGTTAGACATTACCCTTAAGAAGTGATATACTGGGTCTGCCTTACTCTATTTAGGCCATGAGTAATATAGTTGAGAAACTTAGTCTATAGGTAGGGGTGTGCTGGGAGGGGAAGGAGAAGAGGGAGGAAGCCACTGACATACTCTGAAAGAGACAATAGCACAGTGGGCATGGGAGAAGAATACAGGAGCAAAAGAGAAACAGTGAGAAGCACAGAGTATCTTCTTCAGTTTCTGATAATCTTTCAGGAATCAGTTCCTTTGGAGGCCTGGCTGTGTTTCTAGGCCTTGTAATCCTGGTGTTTTTCCTGAAGTAGTTAAGTAAAATAAATCCTTGTTTTACTTCAGCTAACATGAGTGTGTTGTGTTTCCTTCCCCAAGAATCGCAAACTATCAAAGTATTTACCACCCATACAATGCCCCATCCTTTATGTCCTTCACATCACACTGTATATACAGCACTTTAACACAGAACTAGGTAAGGGAACTTTATAATGCAAATTTTCTATATCTTTGTTGTCCAATATTGTACCCACTAATTATAAGTGGCTATTGAACACCTGGATGTGGCTAGTGAGTGTAAAAACTGAATTTTTCATTTAACTTAACTTCAATTCAATTTAAAAAGCCACAGGCAGCTTTGAAATCAGCAATAATCTCTTCTCCATGGTCTAACTCAATCTTTACAAAGTTCTGGTGAGGTAATATACACTTAGACTATATATAATGGATATGTTGTAGGCATTATTACCCCTGGATCGCCAAGAAATAAAAATACTTGCTTAACAGGTCCTATCGCTACTTAGCTACTAGTAGGGGACATGGTTAGGACTGAAATTCAGATTCTTGAATTTGATAAAATGTTGTTTCCACATGGCCTAAAATTCTAAAAAGTGATACCCTTCAATTTGTATTTCTTGCTGGTTCATGAAGCTCTTTTACCCAGAGTTTCCATCCACACATTCCCCAAGGGATACTATTGTAATATATTGATAGATTGTCTAGCAGTGAAGACCAGACCCTGTGTTCTGGAAGCAGAGATGTGATCCACTCATGGGTCAAGCCTTACTCAAATGCGCCAAGGCCAGATCAGAAGGGTCCATCATGGAATCCATTGGAAAGGACTTAGAGCATTATCCCACCAAACCACTCTTAAGCATGGCCAGGTGGTACATTCAACAGTAAGTTATTCAGCTAGTAGAGAGGTATATAATTATTTAATTAAAAAGTAAATTATATATGTGTGTGTATGTGCACAAACATTTGTATATATATTCTTACTTCTTTCATCTCAACCCTACCCTTTTCTTAATAGGTTTTCACTGAAATGCAGAGTTGTTGTTTTTTTTGTTTTGTTTGTTTGTTTTTCTCATATTGTATAGAGCAGACAGACACCCCACAAAGGAACAGGCAGGTCACATGACACTCTGTCTAAGACGATGAAATCCCACTCCTGGGCACTTCAGAGTATCCCCAGGAAAGGTATCACCACATAAACTCTGCAAACTCTAGGGAAAGAAAGGGGGTAATCTCTTCTTCAAAAGAATACTTTCCCAAAGGCTTAACCTCCTGAAAGAGGCCTAAGAAAGCTGAGGACCAATAGGGCATTTCCAAAATAAAAATATGAGCTAGAGGTTGGGAAGACAGAAAAATGAAGATGAGGTCTTTTTTTCTTTAAAGACAGACAATAGTCCCTCTGTATTGTAAATGCTTAATTACTGTCAGTCAAGCAGTAACAACCCAACAGCTGCCCCCTCATGTCTCCAGCAAATAAGACTTGCTGGTCTGCTATTCTGATAATGAGGGTACCATTTATTCCCACGGTGCACAGAGCAATCTTCCTTGGTCTCAAGTCTGCTGTTTCCTATAGCCTAGAGGGTTTACTTGCCTGGACCTATATGGCACCTTCTTCCATACCAGTGCCAGGTTTCTGTGGATGCCATCAACAGGGCCCTCTGGCACTCTGATGAGAGTGTGTGAATGAGACAGATAATCCCATGAAATCCTTCTCATCACAAAGGCCTGCAGTGGCTGGAACTCACAATTATGTAAATAAATATTAAAATTTTGTTTGAGGTTTGTGGATATTTTCCAGAGATATTTAGATAATAAATTTCAACATATTAGTCTCTTGAATTGGATGGGAATTTATTCAAAGTCTTAACTAGCTTTAAAATTACTCTCTCTTTTGGCCCCAATGCAACAGGCTATAACCTGAGGGAAAAACCATCATTGAAGGGTTGTTCTTGGCTGTCACTTATTAAATTCTACTATGCACCAGATCCTTTACACATATTATTAACATTTTAATTCTCACCACCGTCTTGAAAGCATGGTGGCTTTTTTTATAACTATTTTATATAAAAGGAAACAAGCTCAACTAGATGAAATGATTTTGTATAAGTCACAAAATTAATAGATGGTAAGGCCAAATTTTGACCAGACCTCTCTGACACTGAAACCATATAAAAAAATTTTTTTCTCATTAAAGCTATTTTAAAATCTTAAAAACATTTTATGTTCTCAAAGTTCCTTTACATGCAGATTCAAAGCGCCTCACAGCAAGACTATAAAGAAGGCTAGAACAGGCAGTATTATTATCTTTTCTTTACAGGCAAAGAAACAGAAACTCTGATCTCCTAGTGTTCATTCCAAATGTATTCATCAGTCTGACATGTTCAGACATGAGGCTGCCTTTTCTCGTCAAATATTTTCATTTAGAATGAAGTTCTCTAGAGAGAGTGAGCTCTGGACAGCCATGTTGAGAGACCATGGCAGCCCGGAGTCGATCATATGCAAATTCAACATGTCACTGTGTTACAGAATGAATAAAGAAAGAGTTCGCTTTATCTGAGAATAAGATGCTACACTGGGGCAGATACTCTCAAAAGAAAATGAAGAAATCATGAAATGCACTGGGCCTTTCCAGCCTAGAGCAAAACCACTCATAATTTTTATTCTAAATTTTGCAAATGGTTAAGAGAGGTACTTCTCAAATGCTAACATGGGGTCCCCTCAAACGCAGGTTCTGGTTGTAGATCTGGGGTGGTGTCTACTTATCTAACAACTTCCTTATTGATGTCAGTGTTTGGGTCCACAGATGACATTTTAAACATCAAGAACTGATCCAAGTGAGGGCTGTTAAAAAGAAGACTCTTGGATCTCACCCCCACACCTACTAGATCTAAATCGACATCTTAACACAACTTTTGAACCAGCATATACTTTAAAGAGTACTGTGTTAGACAGCTGCCTGACTGGTTGGATAAAAGGATGACTAAAACTTCCATTTTGTGTTTTGTCAACAGTTTTATTTAAAAAACAATCTTGAGAGAGTGTGTGTGTGTGTTAAGAAACAGAATGAGGAGAGATCCACTGTTGTGAATACAATGATAATGACCTATCTCATCATCTGGACAGATTTTGGCTACCCTGGGACCCTAAGGAGGTCCCCAAGTGACTATCTTCTCAAAAATGCCAGATGGAATGTGGCTACTGTCACTGCTGCTGCAAGCTCTTGCAAAAAAAGCTTCTTTGGCTAAATAAAATGTAGTACTAGTAACAACACAGTCATTATTCTTTGTCTTCTCCAGTCTCCAGAAAGAAACTGCTAGCAAATCCTATGGTATGAATAGCACCCACCACAATTCTGGCTCTCAATAAACATTTGAAAGCAATTACTTATTCAATCAATAAACATTTACAAAAGGTCTTTTATGACCAGATACAGAGGACTAGGCAAGAAGACACAGATAATTAAAACTCAGTCCCTGCCTTTGAAAAGTTCAGTTTGCTTTTGAGCAACTAATTTTTAAGCAAAACTGTTTTTGAACAGAAAGTTTTAAGGTTAGTTATTGGGTTTTGCTTTTTAAGTTACAAAGTTAAATGCACTAACATGGAGAGTCATGCAATTTCTTCATAGTATTAGGTTATGTTAGGAATGAAAATGACATTAGAGTGAGGTCGTATGGAAAGGGAAAAATGGAAATCCAAATAAACAGCATAAAATTGACAGACGCTGCATGTGCTCTCCATATTTTCTGCTTAATAGATCAATTACAGAAATAAAACATGTGCACTATAAAAATATGCAGGGAGAACTCGGCTAAAGTGCAACGGAATGTTGACAAGGTAACTAAGCAACGCTGGCAAGGGGAACTCTTATTTTTCTTTTCCTATTGATGTCTACCTTATTAGTTGAAAAATCAAGGAGTCCTTGCCAAGGATAAGGAGAAAATGCTTCCCCCTTGCTCTTGAAAGATCCCTCTTCTGAAGCTGTTACTACTGCTAGAGCTATCAGCGGTACGGAAGAGTGACAGAACAGAATGAAGAGTAACCAAAACAGATGTTAGTTGAGGTAAAAAAGTTCAATATCTTAAGTGTGAGGTAGAGGACTCCTTGCTGTATCAAGTGTCAGGGCAACTAGCTACAGAAAGGCCACAAGAACAATGGCCCACAAGTGGCCCACGCGAGGGAGATGCCATGTCATCCCCACTGCCAGGGACTTGGGAACAAGGATGGTACCTGGCATACAGTTGACTTCACT